ATATGGCTAAGTAATAAGAAATCTATTTTTGTATTAAGTACCATCAGATATGAAAAACATAACCAATCCAAAGAAGAAGTTCTAAAAGCTAAATCTTGCCAGACTGAATACAAAGTTCCCCAATACAAAAGTCCAATGGACACACTTTAGTTATTTACAAGAATATAAAAAACTAAATTCAGCCACGTAGTACAGCAATATCATGTATTCAACACTTTTCACCCGCCACCAAGTTAAGACACTGACGCAGTAAGCACACACACAGAGGTACACCTGAATCCACTATCTGTGATTTATGTGTCCACATCCCACTGATGTGACCACCCTAGAGGAACACAGGGCTAGTGGAAAAAACTGACAGCATGGTTACAATGCAAAACTACATTGATTGACTGAGCAAAGCCACGCCTTCCTTCTGAATGGTAACACGGTGACAAAAAGCCGTTTCACAGGGGTGCTGTTATAGAAATTGGCAAAATAACCATTTTGGACTACATTGAATACAACAGAAGTGTCGCTCAAACATGTAAACAAAATGATTATCCAGCTGCAAGTGATAAATCTAGCACCCATGCTGTACTTTCTGATTGCTTCTACTCAATGGTGATCTGTCATGGTGTGCAAGGTTTCGAGCTCCCAATCGGGAAAAGTTTAGATTTACTCCAGTCAAGGGTCCCAGCTAGGCTAGGTTATAATGCACCATCTTAAATACACAGTCTTATGGTAACCTTTTGTGTATGTCCCTTAGAGGATAAGAAATAAATCCACCTTGCACTATCTTTCCTTTTTGAGTTACTAGCAGCCCAATGAGCATTTCTTATGATCTTCCATCCATCCATTTTCAGAAAGCCACTTCTACTGGCGAGGACTGCAGCAGAGCACATGGCACAGGTGGGACTGAGAGTACAAGGCCACTACACCCTGGCTAGGATACCTGCTCACATCAAGCCGATGGAGAAAGACATCATTTAGAGTAGGCAGCATGTCTGAACTGAGCAACCACCTCTACAAACATATAAACTCCATGCAGATTGATATCTGAAGTCTGAATTGAACCCAGTGCCCTGAAGTCGCAAGGCGAGCTGGCATGACAGCCATTTCCTGATCTTAAACAGATAAAATCAACATGAACATAGCACGAAACCCACACTTTATAATGAACTCATTGAAAATTACTATCATAAATGCTTATCATCTGTCTAAAACAAACAATACAGATGGCTACTCACCAATTACATGAGATGGTTTCCATTGAAGGGAAGGAAAAGCTTGCTTTACAATAACAATAACAATTCTAGCTATACTGAAGGTGACCAGGAAGCGTCTCTAAGAGTTTAGATAAAGTGTGTTAACATTCCCAGCTTCAAAACAGGGGGGATGTTTTCTGAGATTAATGGGATCCAGAGCTTATGACCAAAGCACATCACAAAGTTTACCTTGAGGGTAAATGATTAAGTGTCAATTAAGAATCCATAAACATAATGTATAAAATCGGATCAGGAGGTAAGAAAGGGAGAAGAAGAGGAAAAGACCACATGAGTGAGAGGAGAGGAGGAGTTGGATCTTGAAGCTTGCATTAGACGAGAGATCCTACTTCAGGATCATCCAGATAAAACCAGATTGGAACTAAGTATTTGAACTTTGCTATAGGCAGCCTGTTATTCTGTGTTTTTAGGGAACTTGGTTTTTTTGAGTAAAAGATACCTCAGCTAAAGATGGCCTTTCCTGCTTGGGGGGGCATTTTTAGAATATGGAGAAAGACTCCCATTTATTTTGTGTCTCTCTATTCCAGGTTTGAAAGAGATTTAACTGCAGGTTGTGTTGAATTCTGTTTTATTTAGATAGCAGCTTATCTCTTATTTTTACCACTGTAGGCATTATTTAAGAGTCAAATACTTGGTGATTAGGATGTTAGGCTTCTGAAATGCCCTGTCTGTAAATGTGTATATAAAGAAACATGTGTTGTATGTTTATGCTTTGTGTAATGTAGTGTTTGTATTGTTATTGTTGATACATCTTTGTTTATCCAAGTGTGCCTGGATTATTACTTTTTTCAGTAAAGCTGTCCCAGAGAACAATGAATTCACGTGCCTCCAACTATAAAAACCACTCGGGTATATTTTGGAGAAATAATTTACAAATTGGGGGTTATGATAATTTATTTTATTACTGACTAATCTGCTTGATCAATTCCTGCTTCTTCCCCACTTTTAGAACCCCCCATTTGTAACAATAGATTAAGCACTGCACTGTGCTTCTTATTTACAATTCATTGGGGGTCAAGTTTTGATTTAATTCAGGCTATTACAGCCTTTAGTTACCAAGTATTCTCGGTGCACCAAAGCAAACAAAAGGTAATGGTCAAATCAGAGAGTTCCATTTCTGACCACAACACCAGCATCTCCTGACTAAAAACAAGTGCCTTGTGCTTTGTTCTATTTGTGTCTTGTCTTGTTCTGTTTCAGGCAAAAATCAGTAAGGACCAAATTCCAATGAAAGAAGCCTCATGTGTTTGCCTCAGTGGGAGGAATCTTCTCTCCCACTCCTGGGTTCAGTTCTTGTGGTACTTTCCGCATGGGGATTTTGCTTGCATGGTTTTCCCCCCAGGTGCTCTGGTTTCTTTGCACAATCCAAAGACATACTGGTAAGTTAAGTGGTTTGGGAGAAAAGTGGCCCTTGTGTGTGTGTTTGTGTCTGTGTGTGCCCTGTGATGGATGGGTATCTTTGTGTCCAGTGCTTCCCAGAACAGGCTGTGGCTCCCCCTTTACCCTGAAAATGGATGGCTGGGTTTGCCCCACAAAAATTACTTGCTGAACTCAAGTTTAAAGAAAAAACTGGCAATGACACAACCTTGACGTAGTTTTCTGGATGTCTTGCCACCATCAGCCTAGTACAGTGTGGGCTTGCATTTTCCTGTTGAAAAACCTCTGGATCTGCATTAAATTGAAAACGGCTCCTGGACTTTGTTAATTTGTCACTGAGGCCTTTGTTTGCCTTCAACCAGCACCAAATGTGTTCTTGACTCAAAAGTCAGCATAATGTTCACCATCTCCTGTCTTTTGTCATGTCTGCTAAGAGCCAAATAGTCACTGGTAAATGAAACACTGCTGCCACCTGAGATTGTTGTCTGTCCCACAGAAGACAATTTCGTTCAGCAGTGGGTATTACCCCTCATTGACCTTGAAGCATACAGATTATTTTCATGCAATCACTCAGCATCAGTCGTAACTTTTAGAGGGGATTCACAGAGGAGTAGTGTGAATCACAACACTGGCTTCTCGGGGTTCCTCCCACCCCGAAAAAAGATTACTGCTGTGACGACATCATCAGTAGGGAAAAAACTAATCTGAGCCTTAAAAATCCAGTCCCAGCTCATGTTTGCCACTCCAAAGCAGTGGGTTCCCATTGGTTTTCTGTATTTTCTTATTCCGTAGCCACTGCAGTCTGAAAATGATTATGCAGATGGAGGAAATAGGAGAAAGATGGATTGTCCCAGGGCTAGTTTGGTGGTACTCTAACTTGCCAAATACGGCCTGTTCCTCACTGAGCTCACTGAGCTCATTTCCTAGTTATTCTGAACTCATCTGCTGTTTGTTGAAGCAGAACATCTCATTCTCTGGGTAACTTCTCGCAGACAGGTTGCCTTCAATCATACCGATAGCAACCAGGTTGTCTTCATTAGTCAAGAGAGCACAGACGTACCTTCTGCTGGTATTTCATTCATTAAAATTCTTTCAGAAATAACTGATTTTTAATCTAATCTTGGCAACTCAACTGTATTCAAACTGCCAAACACAGAGCACTGGGATCTTTTTCAATGACTTTTCAATAAGTTATTTTGTTTGTATCCCAAGGAACAGCAATCCTCAAACCAATCGACAAATCCGGTCACATGCAAACATAATGCACATAACCAATTCAAAAAAGAAGGGTACATGTTAAATTTTCATCAGTAAATAAGTAACTGAAGGATTAATCAAAAGATAAAGAGAATACCAAAACATGTAAACAGCATATATAAAATATGAGAAGTGTCAAAAAAATGCACGTGTCATTTAGATCTCTTGGATAATTCTACTTGATACATGTGTTTGCCGAAATGTTAAATTAGAAACAAAGTCTATTACACAAGATGCATTTTACCATAATTTCTAAATAGCAGCCACTTAAGCATACTTACAAGACAAAAATGTTTTAAAACCAGAGTCAGTGTCTAACGTAGTCATCTTTAAGGTTGTGCTCTACTGGACTTTTTTCTAATAAGTACAGCTGAATTCAGTGTTTAAAATGCAACAGTGAAATGCAGCAGCCACATGCATCTCTTTTTGAGGGGTAACGTGACCTCTTTCTTTGAAAAACAGCATTACAGGTAAGATAGGCAGTCCATTGCCTTGACAACCTCATGGAGGAAAGCATCTGCTATGAATCCTGGATAGCATTCCGTTTCTATCCGATTAATTTTGCTCACCGTACTACACTCAAAAGCACTAAACACGTACTAGAGAAGCGCTGAAATCATGTTTTGGGCTGGAAAAAAAGACACAAGAATGCCACACGTCTATGTTAGCCATTTGTGACCACAGGAGCGAAAAACGCATTGCGATTCTTAAAGGCCTTCTTTAAGAATCAGGCCCTTTTAGACACAAAGAAACATTCCGAAAATAAAACGTTTACAAAAAAACACCACGAATCTGTATTTAACACCCCAAATTCGCACATCACTGCAGCCTGCGTGAAAAGGGAAAAAATGATAACACAGCCCATTACACACTAACTATTCAGGTGTCATATATAAGGCATATAACCGACATTTTTCTTTGTAGATTCTGCTGAAATCCACTGCGTGATTTACCCTAACAATAACACGTCCAGCGGCAAACTAGTGTTCTCCGACACCTTGAGTCCATACCTCCCTACAGGCGGGAAGGAGGTTACAACAGTACGCGGGCCCAGTTTTACCAACGTCTATGTCCACTACAGTTGGGAGGGGGTGTACTCACCTGGTGGACGAACACGTCGACCGGGGTGTCCAGTTGAATACCCTCTCTGTTCGTCATGGAAAGAAAGCCGAACCCCATACGCACATTAAACCATTTACAGACCCCACTCCCCTGGAAAGACCGCGAGTCCTCCTCCGTGCTCGGCGACTCCTCGTCTTCGGTCTTCGCGCAGCCACCTTGATATTACAGACAGGTTAAAACGCGACGTTATTTTTCAACCGCGACAGGCCAGGTTTACAATGCTACATCTGCTCGGTAGCCATTTTGCAAATTGAATCAACAAAATATAGTGAATTCTTACTCTCTCCTCGGCTTGTGTGCTTCTTCAGAACTCTACCCGACATGCGACAGTCTAGCCACTACACACGCAGCGTGCTACCTAGAGGTGTGCATGAGCTTCAGCATGCGGCTGATATTGAATAGCACCTCTGCACTGAGGTTTGTTGAAAATTACCTAGAACCATCCCAAAAGCAAAATAAAATCCCACCACGTTTTCTTGAAATTGTGCATCATCAGAACCTGGTTAATGAAAACGTTAATAACTACACTGGCCCGTTCCCAAATTTCCCAGTATTGATACCTTACAACTACACCAGCAATGATAACGCGATTCCCATGTGGGGTCAAGCTGTTTAATTCTATGGGTAGAAATGAAGCTATTGTTCCAATCCGGCCATAAACGCCGCAACGGGACAACGGATTGCGAAAAAATACATGCAAATCCAAATTTATACACGAAAATCATATGTACCAATGATTTTAAACAACCCAGGAATTTAGATCAAATATTTTTGAGAGAGTAAAAAAAAAAGTAAAAACCAGTGCCCTGACATTTTTGAATAAATGTAATATAAATTTGCGTTTAAAACTTTAAACTTCTGAGAATGTACTAATATAGCAACAATATATAAACGTTTAAATTATATAAGATAACATTTAACACACCGTATTACACACCCTTTATACAGAAATATATAAACAAGCACAAACGCAAATACATTACAACGCAAAGCTTAATGTATGTATGAAATGTTTTTAAAAAATCAGGTAAATTTTATACAATCCACAGAACACACACAGTGTCACCCCTGCAAATTTATATAATATAAATATCTAAAATGTGATTGATACGAAACGTTTTCATTCGTTCGTTTGCTGGTGATTTAATCCAGCCCAGTTTAGGGTCAAGCGCCCAGCATTCATTCTATCATGCTTCCTAAAGAAAAAAGTTATCTTTAAAAATCCTGAAGTGCATCTCTCCTACTTAAATTAATAAGAAAATTAACCTGTAAACTGCTGGTTGGAAACAGAGCCCATCCTGCCCTTTCCGAGAGTAAAATTTAATCCCAAGGAACAAATTCCTTCTCTCCCCCCTGATCGTTGCTCCACTTTCCCGAAACCACTTTAAAAATCAAAAAGGGGTTATATGGGAAAAAAAGGGAAACCAGACAAAAGGTTTTGGCAACATCTTCACCCCAACAAAAGAGGGTGGGAGGGCCAGGGGGAGGATTTTAAGAAGAATCCCAAAATCTAAAAGACAATGAGGGGAAACCCAGCCCCCCTTTCATATTCCCCCAAAGATCCAGACATCAAACCATAAAGATTTTCAAAGCAAATGATACCTTCTGCCATAGCCGAGTAAATCCAGAGTCTCTGGTGTCCTCGCAATTTTCCAGCAGTGTATGATATATTTGCCCTGATATTTTGTTGGGACGCGATTGTGAGAAAGAGCACGTTTTTTGTCCTTCCTCCAAAGGTTGTATTTTTTTTTT